AGCCAGGCGCTCTTTACCTGCATGATGGCACTGAACTGGGCCCCGTTCTCCATCTGCTCGTCCGCTGCCCCTCTCTGGACGCTGGCCAGGACGCTGGACTTGAAGAAATAGCGCCAGTTGTGATGAAGGACCCGGAAAAGCAGCTCAAAGAGTTCTGCCTTCACGTCAGGAGAGGAACGCTGGGGGGGGGAGGAGGAAAAGGGGGAAAGGCAGGGTTGAAACACGGCCCTCGTCTCCGAAAGGATCTCTGTTGTCCACGCCTGGCTATTAAGGCAGACGGACAGAAAAAAGACATGCGCCCTATACGGCAGAAGCAGCCGCTCAGGCAGGGCAAGTCCCCCCCCCCTTGTAACTTTTAAGCATAGCATGTCAAGGAAGCCGTGGGCTTCTCTGAGAAACGCTCCGACCCATTCGTGCTGCAATCCCGCTTTCAGATATTTTTGCAAGTTAACGTTACCAATGAGTTGCCAGGTAAAAACCCAAGTGCTTGCGGTTACTTTTAAAGCACCAAATGACTTGCATCTGGCACCTTACTGCCTCTTCTTGTGTAAACCTGCCCTAATCTAAGATCTCGGGGGGGGAGGAGGCACTGCTGGTTCAGGGGAAGGGCCTCCTTAGTGCCCACATCATGAGTTTGGCATCGTCGCAAGAGATCTCTATGGCAGAGCCATGTTTGGAGTTTTGCTTTACAGCACAGACCTAGCGGTTCAGACATGCATTTGCTTCTTGATTTTTACATAATGCTGTATTTATAACGACCCATCCAGTTTTACTACACTTTGTAATTAATTGCATTCGTTACTTTATATATTTCTGTTAGCTATCCTAAACGATGTATTGGGAACAGAAGGACTGAATAGACATTTTATGTACAGCAGGACCCCTGTAATTGCAGGAGATTGATTTCAAGCCTCCCCCCACCCCGCAAGATACTGAAAAACATAGATTATAGCAAGCACTCTACAAGGCATGGTCTCTGGCACCCTCTAATGGCCAGTTCTGGTAATGACACCATAGAAATATATTTCTCAGTCTAGCCAATGCTATACATGGCATGGTCTCTGGCTCCCTCTGGTGGCCAGTTCTGGTAACTTCATCTTTAGAAATATATATATCCAGGATTTTTTTTTAATACTTTTCAGACCGTGGATAAATGAATCAGCAGATTCACTGGTCCTGCAGATAATGGGGCCCTACTGAATGCATGCATGTGGGTCAGTGGCTGTGAGACACCCTCCCGGAGACATCTTTCTTCTCTTCTCTTGCAGTCTTGGATCCTTTACTCGACCCCCCCACACACAAGAGACCTACCTCAGCAACAATAGGGTAGACTTGCCCCATGCAGAGTGAGATGATGTTGGGCAGGAATGGTTTAAAGACTTGACCGGGCTCTTGCACCACCACCTGAAGGATCTTCAAAAATTTCTCAACCACTCGGCAGCCGGTGCTCCCATCGTGCAGGATGCTCTCGGCCAGCTGTTCTCTGGGACACGACATAAACACACACAAGGCCAGTGACCTTTTGGGGAGACTGAAGCCGGGCTTGTCAGGCTGGATTGCCCAGACCTCCGAAGATCTTGCAAGCAGGCAGGCGGAGGCCACACCAGGCTGGGTGTCATTCCAGTTTTGGAAGGGGAGCTGCCAGCCACGCTGCAGGCGGAAGACCCCGCAGGAACTCAAAAGACGAGGAGAGCGGGCTTACCTGGTGAACATGTTGAGGAACGTCTGGATGACCTGCTCAGTGAAAGGGACCCCCATCTGCACCCTCAGCCCTTGAAAGAGGGTGAGGAAGAAGCTCAGCATTTCGTCGGTCACGTCTGAGAAGAGGAAGACGAAAAGGACAGAGAAGAAAGCATTAGCCAACTCACAGGGATCTTGAGAACCTGCCCTCTTTGGGGCAGGAATCACCACGGGCTTTTCGAGGCTGGGATGTGCCGCCTGGATCCCTCACAGAGCAGAAGACCTGGCCCATTCTAGCTGCTCTCTCTTTTCCCACCGTGTGCCAGAAGGAGATCGCAAAGGGGCTGATGACAGGACCCCCGAGCGCCACCAAGGTGGAGAAGACGCTAAGCTCCACGGCTCCGGCCAAGACACCTGATTCATCCTTGAAAAGGTTTAGGTTGGGCTCTAGTGGCCGACTGTGGCTATGCAAAGCATGTCCAGGCGCACTCCGCTCTGAACGATGCTATCTGGCAGCTTGCACGGAGAGAAGAACAAATGGAAGTAAAGGCTCATCACTCAAAATGGGTTGGGAGGCCAGAAGGCTCGGGGTGTGTGCGTCACATCCGAGCAAATTATTCAGAAGCAAATCCGACTGAATTCTGTTCATGCCAGATGAGCAGAGGCTTAATTTAGAGTGGCATCTTTTAACCGGGATCCAGCATGCTTGATTTCCGCATGTTCTGGAGAGGCTGCCTGGTGTTCGGCTCCTCGGGGCATGCCTGAGGATCAGGAAAGTGGAATCAAAGCAAAATTGTTTTGCTTTGGCACCGTTATCAGTCCGAACGGAAATACAACCGTCCGCTTCTGAAGAAAACCACCTGTTCGTCAGTGAAGCTAAAGCTATCCAGGAGATAAATTAACAGGCATAGCATCGATTCCCCCCGAAATTTACATTTCAGTTCGAGGTTAAATATCCTTTTTGCTTTTTCTCTACTGCAGACAAAATACTGTGCTATCAGAGGGTGAAGGAAGTGGGGAGGACTCAGAGCGGCCTGAATCCACACTGCAGGGAAAGGTAGTAGGTAGTAAGAACCTCCTTGATTAAGCCAACAAGGCATGAGTGCCTCATAGGCTACGGATCTGAGGAATAGGCAGGCACACCTAAGCCTTCGAGAATACACAGCTAAGGAAATTTACCTCTTCCATCCCCTGCCCTATGAATTCTCAACCGGATCTTCCCATTTTCCGTTGGTGTGAAAAAAAGGCTGAATTAACTGGGGCAGCCGAAGGGTATATGCTGATGATATATGCTCAACATACCTGATGCATCAGTATGGGGAGAAATTAGGGTGTCAGCATCCATGTGGCTATCCTTAATTTCAGGGGGTGTTTTGCAAAAAGAAGTAAATGTAAGGGAGAGTTTGGAGGACTGCAGATGATAACGAGGGTGCTGGGATTGAGTAAGACTATCAATGAACAGTTACCGGACTGCCTATGGCAGGGAAGGCTGGCCTGTGCTTATACCTGACTGATGAATGAAAGCTGGGAAGAGGGCTAGCGAGACCTGCACGGACTCCTGCAGCGACTGGTAGCAGATCTGGCGCGACTTGGTGGCTTCCCCAGAGATGCTCTCCACAATGTCTTCCAACACGCTCAGTGTCTGATGGATAAGCACCTTCGCTGCAAAACCAGGAGTGAACATTCAGACAAGCAAGCTGCCTCTAGGGCACCAGGTAGTAACTCAGAAGTGAAAGAAACAGAGGTGGGCGACGAAGCTCCCAAAGTGTTTGCCACGAGAGACTGGCTAATGCCCCACAGAGAAGATAAAGAAAGGCTCTTGTGACTCTAAAACAACCAGTTAGACGTCAAATTTGCCCAATGATTTACAGTAGGACCCTTGTATCCACAGGATCAGCATCTATGATTTCACTTATCCATGATCTGAAAATATTAAAAATATTAAAAGGAAAAAAAAAACTAGAAATAAATATTTTCACGAGGTATTTACAAGAGCTGGCCTTCATCAGCCGGATGAAGTCTTCAATAAGCAGTGAATTGGCTACCTGGAAATTTATACTGTTTGAACATCTAGGTTTGGTGTTTTTTTTGGTCTTGGAAAAGTTAATTATTTAGTCTACCTTTACCAGTTCTGTGGTTACAACCTCGTGAGCAGCCGCTTGGCAGTCGCTAGAGAGACTGAAGGCCTCTGTTGGGGAGACTTACTATCGTCCTGCTGTATCTTCCTCTGGGGCAAGATGGCATTGGATTTCAGGCTGCGGTAATCCCTGGTGAGGGCGGCGATTAGGCTGGCGTGGTTAGTCGAGCGCATGGCCCACTGTTGTTCACTCTCGGGCAAATTTGGCCACGGCAGCAGCAGGATATTGGAGAGGGCTCTGCACACGAGTATCTGAGCCTGCAGAGAACGAGACAGGCCAAGCAAACTAAACGCTCCAGTGCAAAATTAAGAAAAAAAAAGGACCAAGGAAGCTCAACCACCACAACAAGATAGCTTTGTAAGCTGGTAGAACAACGCCATCATCACACAGTTTGGGTGGATTTGCCTTCCCACCTGGGGAACGTGTGCCCTGCAGATTCCGTTCAACTACCATTATCCCTGCTCATCAAGCAGGTGGACTGGGACCCATGGGAGTTGGAGTCCGTCACCCCCTAAAAGGGCTCGATTTTCCCGATCGCTGATAGAAGACGTACCAACCAGCAGGGCCAAAGTGCTTTGGACAGAAGTGTTAGCGTTGCTGCACTTAGTGGAAGGTTGCATCAAATCTAACCAGCAACTACGACCCACGTGGAGGAATACAGGCTGCCCCACGAAGGTAAAAGGAGAAAGGTGGGCAGTTTCCCTAGCAGGAAAGGCCTTCTCCCAAACAATTTAATCTAGTGAATATGACCTTCGTGTCTCTGAGCCGAGGTGGGAGAAACAGCGGGGGCGAGGGGGGTGGGAAGTGCAGGCATTAAGGGTCAGGCAGAGGAAGAACTCCGCTTCCTCTCTGCCCAAGAAATCCACTCCAAACCTTTGACCTCCACTCTCTAGCCACCTACGTTCTGGCACATACATCGTTTCGCTACTGCTGAATTTAGTTAGATCCAGACCCTTAGGGCCTACAGGCTGTTTCAGATCAGGTCGACGAGACACAATGCCCTTCTATATTCAGCTGGTTTAATTTAAAAGAACAACCAAAAAACCCAAGATATTTTAAGTCAAGCATGGGGCTGCCATTCTGAATTGGTTTAGCAATAGAGATTATGGAACCAAGAAGGTTCAGTCAGCAGAAGGAGCGACTCCGTTTTAATCCATTTAGACCAATAATCTCGTACATGTGCCTTCAGTTTTCAAAAATATTAAAATGTTGGCAAAGTCACAAGTGGCACACACAGAAGCCGTGTTCCTTCGAGTGGAGCAATTTATCCCCCAGAATCACGGGATTTTATAAACGGGATGGATTTTACTCTGTGCTAAAGTCACTATTCTACTGGAAGAATAAATAAGAAGAGATTCTGAGGATTATTCTGTTCCTTATTGGCAGGGCGGCCATCAGCTCTGCAGGTATTTGTTCAAATGCATTAGAGCTCAACTGAGAAGAATATCTGGGTCTCTGAATTCATGGAGAAGCTGGCCCAAGGCCACACAGGCTGGTTTTACTCTCAGGAGACACAGTCAACTCTCAACCTCTATCTAACTCACTGAGCTATCCAGCCAGCCTATACAATACTAGGAAACTACTACACAACTATACTGTAGGGAAAACGTCTGGCACCTTGGAAAGTTGACAGGACAAGATGCGGATTTTGGAACGGATCTCAAGTATAATCAAATCCGACCCACCACCCAGGCAGGAAATCCACATATGAACAGATGGCACTTTAACCTCTCCTTCTAACAAGTCCCGACACTTTCTAAGGTATTTACTGTCTTTCTATTCTCAAAACTGTGGTCAACTAAGGGTACTGCTGCTCTTTCCTGTCTGAACCAAGAGAAGGATAGGCTGCCGGCAGAAGTCATATTTTACCTTATCAGGAAGGCGTTGAGCAGAGGTGTCAGTGATGCGGTTGAACATCTTCTGCACGGCTGCGATGCTAATCAGAAAGACAGGCCGTACTGTGGTGGCTAAGGAGACAAGCAGGTGGCAAGCTGACAACAGGAGCTTCTCTTGTACCTGGGAGAAGTCGATAAAGACATCATCACCAAACAAGGAGGCATCAGTCTTTTGAGAAGGTACTCTACAAGGAACAGTTTGTTTATCTATTTTTGGCCAAAAACTAAAGATACAGTAGCACCATCTGCCGAGGATTGGTTCCAAGCACTCCCGTGGATACTAGCGAATGCAGTCTCTCTACCATGGTAAAAAGAATGAACAAACGAAACAAAAACAAAAAAGAGAAAAATATATTTTCACATGCATTACCAGAACAGGCCACTAGAGGGTGCGGGAAACCATACACTAACAAAAAAATACATAGCAGGTCTCTGACTCCTCTTAGTGGCCAGTTTTGGTAATACATGTGAAAATATTTTTTCTGGATTTAAAAAAAAAATAAAAAAAATATCTTCAGACCATGGATAAGAGAACCAGTGGATACTGATCCCTTGGATAAGGTGATCCTGCTGCATATAAAAATAAATAAGACAAAGTTGTTGTGGCACTTTAAAGATTATCTGCTATATTTTAATGTGAGCTTTTGTGGAAAAGTCCACTTCCTCAGACTTGTTTCTCTATTTTGTGACTGCCTTTGGTGCCCCAAGGATGGGCCTCTGAAGAATATTATGCAACCTCGTTACTAATCAGTTGATAAGTCCTTTCTCCCTTCAGTTACGGGGAGGAGCAATTCTTGCTCATAACCTCTTCAATTCATGACAAGCAGAAGCCCCTGTGAACCAGAAGTCCTTAAACTCCAAGAAAACTACATACCAGCCACATATCCAAAGAGGACAGGATGGTCCAAGAAGCTGGGTAGAGGATAAAGTCCATGGAGGTTCTTGGACTACAACTCCCAGAAATCCTAGCCAGCACAGCTAGTGCCAAAGGCTTCTGGGAATTTGGTTCTGGGAACATTTAAGTACCCAGGTTTGGAACCACGGTCCTACAAGAAACTGAGACTCTGGTTTCAGTTTTGACGGGTGGCCACTTGTCCTCTTTCTAAAGACAGTCCTGTGACATTTGTTTGAAGATCGAATAACAAACAAATGACAGAACTTCATTTTCACTCAATCCAGGATGAATTTCCTTGAAGTTTTCCGCTACACGTGCTGAGCCGCAGAGCCGATGTGACCATCTGCTGGAGGCAGTACCAACCGGCTGCAAATGGATCAAAGCATGTCTGCCAAACAAGAAGTCATTTCAGGTCGTCGTTTTTGGTGCTGGGGGCAGATGCCTCTCGGACGTGACAATACCTTGGAGCTGATGAGTGGCGTAATCGCTTCCAGAGCGGTAGAGACCAGCGAGATGAATTGCTCTGGATTGTGTCGATGCACTTCGCCGTAGAACTGGGCGAGCCAGTGGCAGTACGCCTGCAGAGCTGCCAGGGACTGTGCATGCCTGGGGAAAGAAAGAAGGTGAGACATAAGCAATGGGGTGTGCGTGTGTGCGTGTGCATACATGTGTGCAAGAGCCAAGCCATGGGAGGTGGAGAATAAGACTGACCATCTTTTCCCGAGATTGATATCTAAATCCTCACCATTTAGTAACCAGAAAGGAAGAAGCCACGTCAAGAACAAGGACATAAGACTTGGACATGGGAATGATGACAGATCATCAGAGTCTGTCCTTCTTAACATTTGGCCTTTCAGACCTTTCGGAGTTCAGCTCCCAGAATCCCTGATCGCTGGCCATGCTGGCAGGGTCTCCAGGGAGCCGAAGTCCAAAACATCTGGGGAAGTAAAGGTTGTGGACCACGGCTCTAGACTACTTCTCCTGCAACCTCCGGCTCCTGGACGGGAAAGTGAAGACACTCTTGTGCCTATAGCACAGGACTTCAGTGGATCTGTGGGGCCCACTTTCTGTCCACCCGGCGCTGCACATACAGCCAAAAACTGTTCCACTTGCACAGCACTTAGTAATAGCTAAAAGTTCATTTTCAGTTTTGGAAATGTAGTATTTTTGAGAATTAAATGGAATGGGGGGGGGGAGGTAGAAATCTTCAAAGCTCCCATCACACCGGTTTGGTAAAAGCAGTCTAGCCAGCTCCTCCAATGCAGCCGAAGAAGGATTTCTCGTACTGATGGCGGAATCAGGTTCTACGTGAGCTCTTCTGCGATGTGTTTTATCACCCAGCTTGGAAACGTTACTGCTTGTATTCCGGCTCCCAGAATTGTAGTTGGAAAAAAAAGTAACATTTCCAAGCGGTAGTTCGTGGTGTCATACTCACACGTCGATAAGGTCAGGTTTCAGCACGGAGGGCACCGCCGTCTCAATGTTGTAGAGCTTAATCTGCGATCCGTACAAAGTCACCTTGACCAGCCTATGGGGGAGAAGTCAGCCAGAGAAGAGAGGATAAGGATCATTCCGGAAGAGGATGAATTCTGAAGACACAGGGAGCACTGCTAAAGCGAACAGCTTTAACATAAACCCGACTGCACAACGGAGACTCTCATGCACAGATTTCTACTGATTTATAACTAAGCCAAGCCAACTCAAGATGTTTCGCTGCCTGAGGCAGAGCCCAGCCCCTCTGCCTCTGGTTAGGAAAACACTCCTCAGATACCAGTTCCTGCTTTCATCTTATGCCACTGCGCAGGCTGGCCTAAGCGTCCTTATATATTTTTGCTGCTGTTAATCCTGCTGGTTTTTAATGTTTTAAAACTTACAGTTACGAACTGGTGCTTTTTAAAAAGGAACGTTAATGTTTTAAGCCGAGGTCTAAATCAGCTTCCTGGAGCTAGCCACGGCCTCTTCCCGTACGCCTGCTGCCCAGCTCATATAGGCGGGCGCATGGGGCACAGGCCGTGGGCTCAGCTCCCGGAAGGGGAGCCAGGGCCTGCTGCCTTGGAGGATGGGAACGACAACCGTGGCAGAGGAGGTGGCGATGGCAGCAGTGGCAGGAGGAGAGGCCACGGGGCCTAGTGGGGAGGGAGTAGGAGAGCATCCTGTTTCGCCCAAGCAAAATGAAGCACCGAGGGGCAAAACGGGATCCCTGGATCGAGTCGTGAACTGAACCAAAAACCAGCCCGGTTCGTTGGTTTTTCCTGGTTCGCCATTTGGTTCGTGCCCATCTCTACTCAATACCACGCAGAAAGGCAACGGCAAGGGTTAGGGCAGGGACAGACGCTGCTAGCCGCAGAAGAGCCTCCTGGCCCCACAACAGACTTGCGCCGCAGGAGCGTTACGCTGCTCACCTCTCCACGACAGTCAGAGCATCGCTGAATCGAGCTGCGAACATGTCCCCAGTGAAGTATTCGGCTAACCGTCCGACCGCCTGGAGCAAGGAGCTCAGGTCTCGTAAAGAGCAATGCAAGCGCCGGCAGTCGTTCTCTGCCGTGATGTTCAGCCGGTGACCTGAAAGGACAGAAGGGACAGCCCCAAATGACAAAATATAAAGGGAAAGACTGGAATGCAAAAGGGCGTCTGTAATAGCACTGTTTTAACACTGCTATAGTTAAAATAACGTGAACGGCCGGGTTTTCATTTCTCCGCTGCAAGCCCACTGAAAAGAGTTTAACACAAAACTTGTACGTAGCCGTCCTCTTGGAACACACAAAGCACTCAGATGGGAAATCTAATTAGGGCGCAAGCTGATCAGGAAATGAAACGTTTACTGTAATTATATTACATGCATTTGCTCTGCGCCGGCTGCCTTGTAGGTCACCGTTCCAGCGTGGATCGCCGGCAGACGGTTAAACGAGTCCAATTTAAGAAAGGGGCGCTGTGTTCAATGAGACGTGGCTGTTCTCATTTCAACTCATTTGCAGCTCCTCGCCCATCGTCCCAAGGCTCAAGGCAGGTCCAGAATCAAGAGGAGACTCGCTTTATGGTGAGGTACAAGAATAATTCAAAACCGTAGGGCTAAACGGGCTGAATCACACTGGTACCCACAACCTTGGTTACCCGAAGCTATCAGAAACAAGTCAAGATGCCGCTAGAATGAAGTTCTGTGCATGCTTCCACCCCAGCCATCATTCATGGGTGCTTGTCCTTGGCTGCCCTGACCGGGCAGACATTGTTACAAATCCTTGTTTCCAAGAGACAACGAGGTACAATTCAGCTGCACCTCCCAGTAGCTTAGACTGTTGATTCGCCACCTCTGGACTTCAATGTCCAGAATCCCCGACCGCTGGCCGGGCTGGCTGCAGCTTTTGGGAGTTAATGTCCAAAATATCCGGAGGACCAAATGCCGAGAACCACTAGCCTAAGTAGCCCATTCGGCTTCATACAGGGCAACCAGGGCTAATAGCTTGATGTGCAAGTAGGGTCCATTTGGAAGGAGAGGTGTGGTGGATAAAACCCAGATGGAAGTTACATCTTACTTTAAAGACCCCCTAAGAAAGCATATTTGAAGAGAGAGCTTGTAGTTGTTGTAGTGAGAGCATTATGCTCCCTACACCATCATTTCTTTCAGAGTCACATGCCCAACAGCAGGCCTCTGATTCATTCTAGCTCAAAAACGGAGCCGAAACTAACTGAAGGACACACAATCGACACATGGGATCAAGATGGCATTCTAACAATGCTGCGAACAGCACAGGCAGCTAAGATTTCAGTTGCACCTTACCTGTCCCTGAGGTGACTACAAACTGTTGGAGTCCCAGATATACATCCAGATTTTCTTGGAGAACTGGAAACTGTGGAGGGGGGGGGACAGAAGAGAACACCAATGACAAAAGCTTCTTCCACAGTGCAAACGTAAGGGCCTGTTCGGACGTTGCCCCAAGCTCGGTTTCTTTAACTCCTGTTGCTTCCTGGCTTCCTAGACTTTGGATGCAGAACTAACGAGGCAACCCCATTGGCTAAAAAACAAATAAAGCAAGCAAACCCCCCCTTCCCGCAAACAAACAATTCTATTTTATTATTTTTGTATGCTGTTAGCCGCCCAGAGAGTAGACTTCAGTCTAGATGGGTGGGATATAAATAAAATAAAATAAAATAAAACAAACAAACAAACAAACAAACAAACAAACAAATAGCAACAATACCAGGAGATGCTATGAGATCGGGATAGGCTTATTCACATTTTTCCCCACTGACCACATGATGCAAAAGGAACTGAGAATCAGGAATCAACGCAGAGTCCGCCTGTCCCTAAATCTGTAATTTTCCCCTCCGGTGCTGGGGCTTCTACTTTTTTTAAAAAATGGATCCATTCACATTAGCTCAAGCAGTGGGATCATTTGAACCGATGCAGGAAAAGTGTGTGCTGGTGGATGTCATGGTGGCCAAGAGTGTGGGTGGGTCAGATCCACAATGACTTTTCAGCCTCCAATGACTTTTTCTTTCTTTCTTTTAAAAAGTTTGGGGCCAGTGCTATTGCACTAGGGCACCTTGAAATCAGCAAACCCCGCTCCCCGCAAGATATAGGAAATGAGAGGAGGAAACGAGACAGGGAAACCATCAAGTAACCCTTGTGTGCAATTATTAGTTAGTTGCCTTGTAACTATGCCTCCTGCAGGGCTGCAAGACAGGCTGCAAACTAACAAGCTGCAAACAAGGCTATCTGTCAATTTCCTCCTCTCTCCTTGTAGGGACAGTAAATGCAAACAGACCAAGGGAAACCTGAATATTCTGGTAGGCTGCAAACTAAGAAGCTGCAAACAAGGCTATCCATCAATTTCCTCCTCTTTCCTTATATGGACAGTAAATGCGAACAGACCAAGGGAAACCTGAATATTCTGGTGTGACTTCACAGTAAGTGAAATTTACATTTCTCTCACTGTGTAACTGCACCCTGAATCTGAGGGGTTAATGGTTCAGTGCTACAAATTTCTGACAAAGACTAATTACAACAGTATACTGTATAAAAGCAAGGTTTCCATGGGAACATGCCTCTCTGAATAAGTGTGCTCAATCACTCATGGCTTAGAATGCTCTTATACAGAACACCAGTACTTGGGCATGGGTTCTGATGGCTGGCAATAATAGCTGCCACTGCTTTCTGCGTGCCTTTCAAGTGCTTCACAGATGCCACTGAGATGATTTAAAGAGAAGTGATACCTTTTAAAGACAGGCTAGTGTTTCATGTACGCAACATAGAGAAGACACCATGCCTTTTCACCAAAAGGCTTCAGTCTGCCTTACATGCAATATTAAAATACAAGAAAACAATAACCAAAACAGACCAACAACTTCCCAAGCAGCAGCTCATATAACAAGTAAAGAAAACAGCACTGGCATCTCAGAGACTAAGAAATTTATTTCAATGTGACCTTCCATGGATTACTGTTCACTCCCGGAGACATAACACGCATGTGTCCGAAGAAGTGGACTGCTCGCCATGAATACAAATCAGGCTATACAATAATAACCTTTGAACTGCAATGCTGGAAGGGACCCTATAGATCATCAAGTCCACCATCCCTTCTTGAGGCGGCACAATGGGGAATTGAACACCTAACCTTTGGCTCCCCAGCCAGAGACCTCAGCCCCTGAGCAATCCAGCAGTTCTGGAGAAAGAATTATTAGCACTGGCTATGGGGAAAAACGATGAGAAGCTCTGTTGGTGGGTCCTAGCAAAACTCGCTGGTTGAGGCAGCACTCCTGCAGTCAATTCTAGACCTCCGGCTGGGTCTACCCCATTCTTTCTCTGGAGACCCAGAGTTAACCTAGACTGGGAACTAGACTGGGAGAAACTTAAAGCATAGCCAGATTCAGCCACAATGCCAAGCTGAAGAAAAAAGAAACTGAGTGTGCACGTGTGTATTGAGAGGGCAAGAAGAGGAGAAAGGTTAGAAGAGAGGTCTACAAAGGATAAAATACAAACAGAATTCCAAAGAGGGCACTGTCCTGTTTGAACATAAACTTTCCTATTTCCATACGCTCCACACTTGCTCTCTTCAAGTACACACCAGAACGAGAGAGTTATTTTGAACAGCAATAGCCAGAAACCCCCCCGGCCAGGATGGGAAATGGTTCCTTAAGTTGCTCTTGAAAGAAGGGGTGTATTGTTTACTAAGCAGCCTCCACGTGGCTGACAGAGCAATGTTCCCTCTGTATGACTCTGACACTGCCGGAGAGCTAAGAGTACTTCTGCTACGAATGCCAATGAAATCCCGGGAACGCTGTTTTCACTCACACTCACACACACACACACGGAGTCACGGGTGAGCATGGATGATGCATTAAGGTCCACAACCCATTGCGCCATGACTGGAGAGGGGCAGGGATCCCAGTTTGGCACTTTGGGTACACAGCTGTTCCGCAGGTGTCCCGGCTTCCCAGCCCTGCCTCCTCCAGCAGGCGCCCACCCAGAGACGGTGTGAAGCTGCCTCTAAATGGGTGCCCACCGGAGAAGCCGGGGCTGGGAAGCTGCACTGCTGCCTCTGAGTAGACACCCACCACAGATCCACCTGAAGCGCTGAAATGGCGCAAAGTGACAAAACACGGCTTGTGCCCATCTCTAGCCATGACCAATGCTCACCTCTAGAGGGAGAGCATTTAAGGGTAGGACAGAGATGATCAAGGAATACAGAACATGAGTTTGTTTCGCCCCAAGAAAACATCGCATTTGCACCGTTCAAGAAAACGAGGCATATATTGCCTCGGAAAGCTGTACATTCCTGAGGTTACACTACTTTTTGGGAAAAGATTTATACAGCATTATCTGTACGTTTGAAAAATGGGCATGGCACATGTATTTGAAAAATGTACATCAACACACTTTAGTCAACAGGAAAATGTATACCAAGAGTTAGATAGGTAAAAATAGGGACATTTTGAAAAATAAATTGGCACTAAACCATTCATATTTTTCCAAGCAGGAAGGAAGAAAATGAACGTGTAACCTAACAGGGAAGTGGGGTAAATTGGGAATGCTAACAGTATTTGGAGGAAAACAAGTTGACAGATTTTCACACTTCAAGATCAGAAAGAACGGTGCGTCTCACCCGTTGCTTCTCAATGTCTTCTGTGTCTCTGATATCCTGCAACCGGGCTGAGAACCCAACCACCTTGTTTTTCCCTTCTCATGATCCCCGGTGGGGCTGTAGAGGCTCTGT